CGTGTGTAATGTTTTAATAATATCCGGAGGCCAATATTAGTTATTCAATATTCTAAATGATAATCTATTATTCAGAATTTTAAAAATGTATTAAAATTTTTTAACCAAGGACTTTTTCTATGTACTCACATGATCAATAACCACTGTCCTAATATGAATGCAAATGCAGGACAGAAATTTATTGTGCAAACTCAGGTTTCATTCTAAGAATAACCTAAACAAGACAGAGCAGATCACAGAAGCCCAGACTCACTAAATCCCTGCTTTGCCTCTAAGTGCTTTTACAAGACTGATTAATGGGAGAATTATCCTTACCCTCCTCCAGGACAAATTGTGTGATAAGATAATAATTTCTGGGTTAGGGAACATTTTTTCTTTATCCTTTTAAAAATAGTTTCCCTAGATAAAGTCAGCTGACATTCTAGGACTTAAAATTCATTGCCCAATTAACAATGCAATTTGTTCACACACAAGAGGAACTGTTTTTTTTTTTTTTTTTTTTTTTTTTTTGGTTTTTTCGAGACAGGGTTTCTCTGTGGCTTTGGAGGCTGTCCTGGAACTCCCTTGGTAGTCTAGGCTGGTCTCGAACTTACAGAGATCCACCTGCCTCTGCCTCCCGAGTGCTGGGATTAAAGGCGTGCACCACCAACGCCCGGCTCAAGAGGAACTTTTTTAAAAAAAGGTTAGGAAGTTGGGGCAATAATGGCATCATCCCTAGAAGACAAGGGAAAGCAACAGACTGAAACAAATTGAACTCGTGTGTGTGTGTGTGTGTGTGTGTGTTTATATTGACCAAATAATCTTAGCTGCTCAAGTTCATCTATTTCATTAGCTGTTCCTTACTTCCTTTTTGTGTTATTTAAATGTTCATAAATGCTCATGACAAGTAAGTTATTTTGTTTCTTATACCATGTAGGCATTTGTCATCTATCTAGTTATTCTTCTGTTACATACTAGGGTCAACTGGGTGAGTCATTGTAGCCTTCCAGCTTCTGTGGTATCTGTATGTATGTATGAGAGACAGACAGACAGACAGACAGATGGAGAGCAAGTGCACACACACACACATACACACACACACAAACACAGAGAGAGACAGACAGAGAAAAAGAGAGAGAGAAAAAGAGAGAGAGACAGAGAGAGACAGAGAGAGAGAGAGAGAGAGAGAGAGAGAGAGAGAGAGAGAGAGAGAGAGAGAGAGAGAAGAAATTATGGCATGGCAATTTCTTCTGGAGGAGTGGCTAGGGAAAATTATATCACTTTTCTTCCTATGTTCCCTTACAGTTGGTTTCTTAGCATTTTTAATTCCTTCTGCCTTTCTCATATGCTTATTCTTATACACTGGCTTTTTTGTTTTACATTTTTGGTTAATGTTATAGTTCAAGATCTCCATTATCCATGAGCCTCATATATGGCTTGGGTCAAACTGGACAAAGCAAGCAACTCAATAGTTCAGGACTATATTGAAAACAGTTGAATTCACAGAAAATTCCCCATTGCTTTGGTGATCTCTGTATATTTCATCAATGGTACCATCTTTGGGGCAGCAAAATCATTAAACTATGGATTACTTTCTGGATCCTTTGACCCAAACTGAGTAATAAAATGAACAGATGGCCTTGCAAAAGGTCATTACTTTCTTTCCCTGTAGGGCATTATTAAAATACACTTCTCTCAGAGATGTTGCCCATCTATCTGGGATAAAGTTATAATGATGCAGGCTTTCTGATTGAGGAGTGGAGGCCCATCTACCAAGGGATAAACTGTAATGATACAGGCTTTCAGACTCAAAGAAAAGACACAAACACAGACCTTATGGGAAGAGACTTTGGTTGAAAGACAGATGAAATGATGACATGATTTTGGAAAAACACTGTGTCCTATTCCCAGAGCATGACTCTGTGGATCTTTCTATGACAGTGATTTCTCCTTAGTTCCTCAGTATCAATTTCTTAGAGTGGAGACCTTGAACTATCAAAATTATCAAAGATACTAACCAAAAATGTAGATTCCCTGGCCCTGATTCAAGTTTTATGAATCTGACTCCAACTTTCTCAAAAGGGGATTTCCTTTTCAGAAAGTGCTATAAATGGATTTAATGTGTGATGAATACTGAGCTTTGAAAATGTTTGCAACAGTGGCCACTGAAGGAAAATCCCCTTTCCAGTATCCATAGCAAAATAGAAGACCAGACTTTTCAAAACAAATTCTGTGGCTGCATCACAAGGCTGTGGTTATTAAAGTTGAAGACTCTTTTCCACAGGGATGGGGCACGATATCCATTTCATCTAGACATAGAGTGATGAAGGCAGTGTAAATCAAACTCATCCCAGCATGTTTCGTTTCCCCTAATTTTTTTGCAGATATCCATCATTGTATAGTCCCTTACCAATGACATCTAACTCCATTGTAGTTCTGAATACACACTGCTCTCTGATTCTTTCTCTAGTGCATTCTTTTGAACACTGTAAAAGAAAATACATAAATTGGAACAGTGGGCCATCAAGATTGCAAGATGCCAACAATACCAAGACATTAAAGAGAGAAATGGCCCATGCTAGACCCTATAACTCAGCATGCAAATTGGCAAGAACATTTATCTGCCACAGAGTCACCAGGGAAAAAATAATTTCCTTCATTTTTCCTTAGAAATTTTTATGTCAAATGGAGATGACAAATAATTCATCCCATAAGTTCACAGAAAATGTCTTATTAATTCTAGCAAAGATCAAACATAAGGCCAACATTACTCAAATTCCATGACAATGTATCCAGTGGTAGAGAATGCCAACACCTATCTCTTCTGGGCTACTCTACTCTACTATACACCAAATTGGAAAGTTGAAGTGACAACAAAGAAAAGTTTGAGAATCAAATTTTGACTTCCATTGCAGGAACTATGATGGAGTAATTTTGCAAATACTGTATCTGCCATTTCTTTCCCTCCTTGGAGCATGTTTTGCTTACCAAGATAAAAAAGAATACTCATAGAGTGTGGAGAAGCAAACCTAACCCAGAATCATCAGCAGGGGTAGCTAAGAGAATGAATAATGAACAGGACACCTGCCATCTGTGGGAAAGGATGCTTCTCAATAAAACAAGACCAACTGATGCATGGAAAGTTCCATGTGGTCCCTCCTTTAATCAAGTGTTGCTCCAAAACGAGTCAGCTGGAAAAGACACTCCACTATAGAGGCATGTCTGTCATTGCGCTCTTCCTCCTTTTTAACACCTTAGCATCCATGCATTTCCAGTAGGATAGCTATGCTTATTTACAAAGGACTACATCACAGTGTATTTTGGAAGCCACTTCACAGGGTCACTCATGACTATATGCATCAGTGAATTTTTTCCTGAGCAGTGGAAGAGGTAACTATGAATTATGTTAACATTTGTGTTTTCCTTTTTCCCAGTGCTGTTTGCATAATGTTCCCTTCTTAATAATGGGTAGGAGGACTTTATAAATATGTCCCTGACTTCAGGAGACTCACATCCATTTAAGGAATGACCTCCCCAAGTTCACTGGATTTAGCCTTACAGGATTTCTCAGAAGGAAGCCCAAACTAAACCTCTACATGTGTCAAGTCCCATTCATTTGACCATCCAGTACTATTGATTTCTTGATAGCAACAATGCACAGTTCCTGTCAAAATCCACATTCAAGAACTGAACTATATATAATATTGCTCTTTCCCTTACTGAATGTAGGGATCTGAAACCAGGGATACCAGGGTGCTTAAGCTCATGGCTCACTTAGCCAAAGATAATTTCCAATGTGTTGAAGACTCTAAGGGGCACGCTGGATAAATCTGTGCCAAAGGAAACCTAACACTTTATATTCTTGGTGCCTTCTCAAAGCCTTCTACTGACCTGGGCTATATTTCTGAATATGTCAATACCCTCACAAGCAAAAGCCATGTTTTTTGTTTTTTTAAATGTTTTACAATGGGGCAGATGTCACTTTACAGGTAGCCCAAAATGAAAGTGATATGTTGCTGTCTTCAACAGATTTATACTACTAAGCTTGATCACTGTGGTTACCCGTGAAGAAAAAAAAATACCTTAACAATAGAGCCTACAGGACACTGCATTTGGGTACAGCATTTCATTTCCTATATGAAGACCACAGTAGTATCTGTGAATTGATGGCCAGCGCAGTTCTTGAGTGCCTCTCTATCCTGATACCATTATTGTTAGGGCTGAAATTTAAGGAAAATAGGAACTTTGGCCAATTTATTCAAATCTCAGATTCTCTGACAGCCGTCTGGTCAAGAATTCACATCCAGTGTCCTCTGACCCATTAAAATCCATGATGCTTCGCAGCATCTTCTACAGTTAATATGATGGTATTTTGTGATGTACCATCATAAAACAGAGAGAATGAAGATGCATTAGGAGACTCTACACACAAAGGTATCTATCAACTATCTTCTAAAATATTAATATACAAAAGAATACTTTCACAAATGATCATTCTCCTGGCAACTCATCACCCCAAGAAAACTTTCTTTTTCACTTAAATAAAATTTTAAACTTTATCTGAAGCATCAGGACATGAAAACATTGCCTTATTACCCAGCTGTGTAGTCAAGAATTACACAAAGTTCAGAAAGACAACCATATACTAATGGACACCAATAAATCAATGAGGAGATTCATAAATAATAAACGTACCTAAATGAAAGTATACAGAAAGAAGAAACTGGTAATTAGGTTTTCCTCCCATAGACACTATCTGGTTGTCTTTATTATCTGTGCTAACTATACACACATGCACACACATACACACACACACATACACACACACACACATTCACATGTACACACACAAAACAAAAAGTTAGGAATTCTTGGCACATTATAGTGACAAATCATTTTTGCAGTTACCACTGAGATATGTGAGGAATGTTAAAAATGAAAGTTGTCTTTGGACATTCATTTAGCACAAGGGAACAAAAGAACTACTGGTAGATTAATAGAAGACAAGAGTCGTGTAGATAGACATTGTTAACAATTTCTTTTTGACTGTATCTATACAGGCCAGGAATATATTTTTTTTTAAAAATCTTAAAAAGTCAAATTCATAACTTTTGTGTTCCAGCCACCCATTTGGGTCATTACAGACATAGAAATTATACAACTAAACCATGGTACGGCCATAGCCAAACCCCAGGAATCCAAAGGCAACCAAGCCTGGCCACAAGCAAGCAACAACGTACAGATATAGTTTAAAATTCCTATGAGAAATTAAGAAGCATGTCGGGGTACAAATCCTCTAAAGCAAGCAAACGGAAGGCTGGATGCATCGATTACTGGATGTTGGGTGTTGTCCATAGCTTTACAACTCATGGGGATGCAACAAACCTGCCTGAATTATACAAAAGGCCTCATCAATAAAATGTGGGCAAGTTAGCACTCTGAGTCCGGCAGAGAATGGTGATTGACAAGTAAGAATGGCGAAGGCTGAGTGCAGGGAGTGTCAAAGCTATGTTTATGAATGGGGATATGTGCTTGTTTGATAAACATGAACAATGTCCCACTAGCTCATCTCACTGTCTCCTCATGTAGGGAGAGAGTACAACAATGCCAAGGAGCCTGAGGTTATTTATTTCAAAATAAGAAAGAGAATTTGTTGATGATGGGAGCCTACTCAGCATTAGGAAGTGTTGCCAAGAGAGGCTGGGAAATCTGCCCAGGAGGGTTTACATAAAGAGGCAGAGGTTTCTTTGTCTGAAGTGCTCTTGTGGGGGCAGCTGGCAGCAGGGTGTCAGCCCTTTGTAGTCCAGGTCCTGTGTCATGTGCATCCGTTGTGCATATATACAGACATATATTGTGCTTGTGTTGCACAAGTACTCATGCATACAGAGTCAATAGAAACTGGCACATAGAGATATAAGTGAAAAATCATACAAATTTGCCATTCTTCCCAAACCCCATAAATAAAAGGAAAGAACAATTAAAAAGCTTGACATGTGCAATGGGTCCTATCTCTTCCCCTATCCTTGGCCAAAGGAAGGAGGCAGAAAAAGAGAGGGAGGGGGAAACAGTTTGGGATAGATGACCCCCAAAGCTTGTGAGCTACTCACATGTAGCTGGGTTCAAGTTAATAAAAGACAAAGGACAACACAAGAGCTTGCTTCTGGTACCACATCTGCAAAGAAATCTACCCTGTGGATTTACACATTAAGGTGAGCTAGTTAAAGTAGGCAGTAGCACATCAATGGACTATTGTGTTCTAACAAATGTGGATCATTAGTTGTTACTTTTCCTTTAACATATGTGTTCCTTTGGGGAGGTTTATTTCAAAGTGGTGACTACCCCCAGCCCTCCCCTATAGATGATACTTCCGTAAAAGTTCAGACTGCCAGGGATGTTTCCTCTCCGGGAAGCGATCTGGAATTTTTATCTTCAGGAAATCCTGGATGCACTTCTCCAGCTCTTCTTCAATGGAGAGCTTTTCCTTCGCAGCTTTCTTTTTGCTGCTTATGTTCGACTCCCTGGAGCCCGAAGTCAGAGTCCTAAGCAGGTCACTTTTCCGCCTCATCTCGGACTGTTGAATCAACTGCACCGGGCCCTTCTTAATGGGCCTGTCCAGAGTCTGGATATTGCTCTGGCGCGTTACAGGACCACAGATCACCGTCTCCTGGGGAGAGCTGGCCTCTGACTGGCTGTCGCAGCTGGAAGTGGAGAGGTCATTGCAAGAGGTGCCACTCTCGCCTTTGTCTCCCTTGCCATTCTTGCAGCAGCAATCACAATGAGAGGAGGACCACCTGGAAGGCTCACCTGGAAAGCAAACACAGACCCAAAAGGTGAATGCCAGCAACTCAGGGTGGTGCAGAGACAGAACACATTAGTCCTCCGAGAATACAGGTGAGCCACAACAACGACATTCAAAAGCTAAGTCATTACTAGTATTAGACTTGTGTATCTAGTGGAATATGGCATCATGCTTAAGCACACCGGCATAGCACTCAAGAGCCCTAGGCAAAAATATTCAGGTATTTATCATCCCTGGCACCTCACGGACCCAAATTTTAAAGACTACAGTTCTACCATCAGTAAAACCAAGATAATAGTTTTTTACTACCTGGAGTCTCAGGGATGACTTAGATTAGACAAGCAGAATGAAGTCGATGACATACAGTAATCTCAGAAAATGCTTGCCAATTTCTCCATGGGTAACATTTAACCCTCAGCTCCAGCTTCACCTGTAGCAGCCAGGATTTAGGAAGAGACTACATAAGGGGAAACGCAGCGACCAGTGAAGACAGCTCTGATCAGCCTCAGCATCTCATTGGTTTTCCATCATCCTATGAGCACAACAGTCCCACTCAGCATTTATACACATGGAAACACTAAGACCCAGGAGCTTAACAGATATGTCATGGTTTGAATAGCTTCTTAGTGGAAGAACTGGGATTTGAATACAGATGGCCCAGGTGTTATAACCAAGTCAATTAATTGCTTCCTAGAACAAATTGCCTGTCTGTAAAATTCTTGCTTCTTAAAACACTGATCAAGTGTGAATTTCTATGAAGTCCCTGTGCACCTCACCCAAGAAAACTTACCTGCTCATGGAATGGCTGTACTTTTAAGTTCCTTAAATATTGCAGTTAAGTACTTTATGTGTCCCAGCATCTACTAAACCACCATCTTCCTAATGTTGATGTGGTGAGGTGTTCATTGTTGTAGGTCTAACTAGTCACCCAAGTGTAGCAAAGAGTTCAGTAACACAGAGCATCTTAAGTACTAACTTCAAAGTAGCTGGGTCTCACCATGCCCGAAGCTCGTATTGTCAGTGGGCATGTCTGCTATAGTATGCACACTTGGTGGCTCCATGAACTTTGAAAAATCCACACTCATGGCACAAAAGAACTTTTTCAAACATACATTATGACCCCTAGGCTGCCAGTGTCTGAATAGCCCCAAGCCTCCTGGAGTCATACTACATATTGATCATATATTACAGGCTGGGTGTTGTGGGATAGTGCTTTAACTAGGAAAAGATGTTTTATATTTGTTTATGCTGTGGAATATTATTTTAACTATGTAAAGATGTGTTACATTTGTTTATGCTGCATTTGCTTAATGAAGTAAGGATGTATGTCTAACTATGCAAAGAATGTGCTACATTTATTTCACCTTGCTGCCTAAGGCACCTGATTGGTATAATAAAGAGCTGAACAGTCAATATCTAGACAGAGAGAATAAATAAGAGGAGGACTCTGGCAGGGTGCTGGTGGCCCACACCTTTAATCCCAGCACTCAGTGAAGAGAAACTAAGATTCTTATGATATTAATATGATAGAAAGATAATACATATTTTCAATGATTTTTTAAAAATGCCGTCTTGATTTTACTATGTCTTATTATTATAAACAATAGGTATCATGATAAAAAAATCTAGTTCACTGCCATTTCTAATATGATCAAGTAAATGAACCTATTTAAAAAAAACTCAGCCCTTGACTACCAATGAAATGTCTATATTTCGCATGTATAAAAGATTTTCACACATGACAACTAGTCATATTTTTTCCAGAGGAAGTAAAAATATTTTTCTCTAAATCACAGCCCCAGAATTCCTAACTCATCTAGTCATTTTATAACATGAAACTGTGTGATCATTGTACTTACATAGCTATTAAATTAAATGCAACAATCCGATTAGCCAAAAGGAATCATAATGACAGTAATGCCATAGCTATTCTTAGTTATTACAAATAAATATCTTTTGTGCAATGGAGAAACTGCTCGACATGCGCCAGCCAGTGCTTGAGAATATCTGCAATGAAAAAGGCTTTGGTCTGTCAGGGAATTTGAGGGGAATAATTCTCACTTCTAGTCTACAGAATGTGTCTCAGTTGCCTGACAATAGGGTCATTCTTTATTAATATAACTCAAAGCAAAGTAGTTCCAATGAATTGAACTGAATAAAAGTAATCACTTCAGACCCAAGTTTATCTAACTTGGTCCACTGGAGAATGTTTAGAAATTAAATTTAGCATGGAGGAAAAAGGAAAGGAAAGAAAGGAATAGGATAAGGAAGGGAAATGAAGGAAAGAAACAGAAACAGGGAGGATATGAATATAATATACATTATATATATACTACATATATATATATATATAATCATAAGAGACCTTAAAACAAGGTGGCAAAATACTTTACGTGTAAGTCCTGATAAGTCAATAGAAATGTATGTCTCTGCTCCTGCCCAGGTGTTCTCTTCCCAAGGAAGTCCCTCCAGTCACCAAGCTCCAGAGGAAGTTTGAATCTGCTTAGGAGCCTTTATGTATCACCCAAATCCATATGGGATGACCCCTGTGTATTCATGTGCAACCTTGCACTGCATGGAAAGCGAGGGGCCTGGCACTACTGCAGCGTGTCTCCTAAAGCTGCTGGGAAGATTCAGCATTTCAGTGTCATCTGGGATTCCTCTGCTTGCAGGCAAATAGAATTATTACCTTTCATGCATTCTGGGCACTATCACTCTCACAAGGACATTGAACAACTTAATTTGAGTGCAGCTTATCAGTACTATATATTTTAATATTTCACAATGATATTTGAGTATTTTAGCATTTGGGCAATGTTTTGTTTTGAAATCAAGGAAGAAGGGGGAAATAATTCAGTCAAAACAGAGCCAAAATGAAATTTGAAAACAGTCATACTAAACAGAGAAATCCACCACCTCTTTCTTGGAAGCGCTGTCTTAAAGCAGTCTCTTCCCAAGGATGCCGCTGCAGCAGAGGTAGGAAGCTAGGCTGGAAGGGGGCTGCAATCACAGGGCCCCTGGCCCTTGCAGGCCTCTGAAGCGTGCTCACATGCCTTAAGAAGTCATGGAAGATGTACGCAAGGTCAGCTCTGCAAGGCAAGGTATTCTAGGATCTTCCCGTTGATGCAGAGGAGCGGTGCCACAAACACCCCAGTGCTTCGAATTTAAACGCGTTCACTTCTAATCTGTGATGTTTCAGCACTGCTTGGAGTCTTTACATTTAGCAAGAAAACAGGTTACAACTGATTGGCCAAATATAAGGGGGAGAGGGAATAGTTTCATTCGAAGAAAAGTTTAACTTAATGGTATTAAGAAGAGAAGAAAATCTGTCCCCTGTTGGAGGCTTATCACTTAATTGCCGGACATAAAATTTGATAATACTGCTTTGGGTTTTTTTTATAAACCATTTATAATTTTGAGGGCTTCTGTGACAGTTTTGGTATCTGGCACATAACAGATCTTTCATAAATGTTTGATGAGTGAGAAAATGTGCTTTAAAATGTGCTTTCAGATGTTTCAAGTTGAACACATGGCAGAAAATATCTTGGGCCCCAGCATCAAGTACCACAATCGGACAACTGTGTGTCTTCAGAGCAATTACCTGAGATATCTTAGAGTAACCTGAAAAATAAGTAAACTAATAGTTTTTGTTCATAGATTCTTGAAGAAAATTAAGTGAAACCATTAAAGTAAAAGATGTCGCAGTCTGTAGCACAGAATACATACTCCATACTCCATTCGTTCAAATATATTGACTATACAGCAAGCAAGACCTCAGTCAGTACAAACATTCCAACTAGGAATTTGACAGACATAATGATGATTCTGCTACCAATTTACACTCAATATTTACTGATGACTCAAGGGCCTCATTAGGAAGGACACTACAGCTATAGCTGGACACTGTAGAAAAGTGTTAACTTGAGTATCTGGTAATGCCAGACTTGGCATTTGAATGGAGAATAATGATGAGCACAAAAAGTATATGGCAGGTACCATGTGACCAGGGATATTTTTGGAAGAAAGAAGTCTTCCAGTGCAGTGCTTAAAAGTTAACAAGTAGATGAGTCCTCTAGTATAACAATTTACCTGAACTATTTCTGAACAGGACAGGAAGAACTTGGTATTTTAAATTAAATTCAGGGCAAGTGGAAAAATCAGCTTTCCAAATATCTACATCCAAATCTTTGAATATTTTATTTCTCAGCAACATTAAGGACCAATCATGTGTCCCAGCTTCCATGGAGTCCTGAGTAGAGAGGTTCTTACTGGTAAGAAGTAGGAGGGGAAAGCCTACAAAATATGCCTCCTCCATGAAAAATTTAAGGCCAGCTGAGTGAGACATGACTTAGCAAACTCACAAAGTGCTTATGCATTTTTAAAGGAGGCATCTCTGTAACCTACCCACACTTCAAATTCTTCACCTGCTAATGGCTGGGAGTACAATGTTCTACATTAAAGCATCATCTGGGAAAGCTGGTACTCCATGACTACTCCGTCAATGATGTAGGAGCCTTCCAGTCTAGGAGAGAAGTGGCCAGATTTAATTTATCAAGGCTGCTAAAAGACCCTCTTGCTTTCACAACTGAATACTCAATAACAAGCAAATTGATGTTTTTCTAATTCTGCTAACCTTTAAAGATACATTGAATGTTGGAGATTGGGGATAGGCAGGCTGTTAAGCTTCTGGACAGTAAGAATCCTTTCACTGGACAATCATCGTTTCTGGTTCCTGGCAGACCTTCTCTTCACTCAAGGGCATTTGGTGTTGGGTGGGCCCGGCTGGGATGCCTATTTAAGAGGTGGTTATATGAGCAAGTAAGGCATCCACAGATCAGTGAGGGATGCAGATACGCCTCCAGTGATCTTAACAGGGAGAATTCAATGCAAGGTGGAAAAACAGACTTTGGGAGGATAGACCTGATGGTCTGAGTGACTGGGGGCTATGGCTACTGTCTGGAAAGATGAATTGAAGAATATGCAAAGGTTAATGCCTAAACAGCTT